TTTCTATTACATTTTCTTTTTATGTTCTTTTTTTTCTTTAAGATTTTATTTACCTTCTTGACAGAGAAAGAGAAAGAGAGAGAACAAGCAGGGGGAGCGGCACACTTAACCGACTGAGCCACCCAGGCACCCCTCTATTACATTTTCTAATTGGTTACTACTAGTATATATGAATGTTACTGATTTTATCTTTTATATATGGTCACCTTGCTGAATTCTCTTTTTAGTTCTGATCTTTTGTCAATTGTTTCTCTTGGATTGTCTAGGTAAACTATCATATCTTCTGAAAATCATGTCTCTTATCAATTTTTATACTTTATTTCTTTCTTGTCTTATGCCAAGGGCTTCTAATATAATAGTGGTCATGAGAGTGGACATGATTGTCTTCTTCCTGACCTTAACGGGAAAGTTTCTAACTTTTAAGTGTGATACTTGCCTCAGTATCTGTTAGATATCCTTTCATTAGTAAAATTCCTTTCTATCTCTTGTTACCTAAGAGTTTTTATTGTGAATTTTATTGTGAAGTTTATCAAATACCCTGTATTCCTCCAATAGACATTGGTCATTTTACACCAGATTCTATTTGCTAGTATTTTATTTAGAAATTTTGTATCGCTATCCATAAGTAATATTGTTTTCTTGTACTTTCTTTGTCTAATTATGATATCAGGGTTATACTAGTCTTAACAAGTGATTTGAGTAGTTTTCTATTTCTATTTTTTTCCCTGTGCTTTGGAACAGTTTGTATAAAGTACGAAGTCTCTCTCTTTTTTTTTAATATTTGGTTAAAAAACAAACAAAAAACCCACACACACATATAAAACCATCTGTGCCTGATTTATGTTAGAGGAGTTGATTCTTTTCTTTGTTTCAAGTTTTTCTACAGTCATTAGTCTTGTCAGGTTTTCTATTTCTTTTCAAGTATAGATTTGATAAATTATATTTTCTTAGAAAATTGTCTGTCTCATCTAGATTTTAAAATATATAAAATATAATATAATATTCTAATTTCACATCTTTCCTGATTTTTCAGTTATAGCTCTCTATTCCTAATTGTATATTTATGCCTTTTATCTTTTTTCTTGATCACACTTTATAATAGCATTTCTATTTTATTAATATGGCACAGTTTTTATTGACTTTATTATGATAAGAGAACGTTATATGTGATTTTATACCTATATATTTGACTATTTTAGGGTTTTATCAATTGAGAATTTTATTTGTTCTTCCCTACTTCCATCAGGTTTATTTGTCCTCATTTTGTTACTTTTTTGAGTTGAAAACTTGGTTTATTTCCTTTTGTTTTCCAATGTGTGAAAGCCTCTAAATATACCTCTGAGTACCACTTTGACTATATTGCATTGATTTTGATAAGCAACTTTCTCATCTTTCCTTAGTTGTAAACATTTGTAATTCCATTTTGAACACATCAACCAAAGGGTTTCTTAGAAGAATGTATGCATCTCTCTGTTTTCATTTTTCATATTGCTTTGTATGTTATTATAGATTGTTTTGTATATCTTTCTTTTGCTAACTTTGAAATTTATTTCACTGTGGTCAGTAAATAAAGCTTGTTGAGATTATCTTTGTAGCCTTGTATCCAGTCGCTTTTTGTAACTGTTCCATGTGCGTTTGTAAAGAATATTTTATTCTCTGGGTTTTTTTTAGGGCAGGGGAGGTATAGTGTTCTTTAATTTCCTATTAGATCAATCTAATTGTGTCAAGTTTTTATATCCATATTTATGTTTTTGCTATTTGAACTGTTATTTTCTAGGATATGATTAGCAATTTGTCAATTTATCCTTGTATTTCTATCAATATTTATGTCAGATGCCAAAATGTGCACAAGAGATCTCCTCAATAAATTATTCCTTTTATCCTTATGAGATATCTATCTTTTTCTCTTTTAATGTTCTTAATCTACATTTTGGTTTTTATATTAATTTTTGCTATATTAATTTTTTTGCTATATATTTCACTTACTTACATACCTTTCTCCATTCCTTTATTTCTAACTTTCTTTTGTCTGCTAATGAATATATAGCTGGATTATTTTTTGTAAATCCTGTCTGAACTTTTTAATAGGTGAGTTTAGACACATTTATTATGATTATTGATATGTTTAAAATTATTCTTGCCATTTTATTTTTGGTTTTCTATTTAACATATTTTCAACTTATTTCTTTTTCCCTCTTTCCTATCTTCCTGGATTGCTCATACATTTTTTTATTATTGTTCTATTTTTTTCTTTACTATTTTGGGAATCATAATTCTATTTCTATATTAAAAATTCTAACTCACATGCTTCACTTTCCATTCTTCTACATCATCTGGTACCTTCCTAGTCAATGGAAGAGCACAGCAGCACTGATATCACCTGGAATCTTAATCCCATCCTGAATGTACTGAATCAGAATCTGTTCTTTAACAAGACCCCCCAGGTGATTTGTTGGCACATTAAAGTTGGAGAAGCTCTGATTTAGTGTGTATCATACTGTATTCACCCTCCAGATAAGATCTTCAGTGTGTTATTATTACTTTTTACTTTTTCAGCTTCCTCTGTTTCCCTCACCTTCTCTCAATGATATCATTTGGAATTATAGCTCTAAATTGCTAGTTTTTAAGACTCTTAAAAACATGTAAATCTTATTTAGACTTAAGTCTTTCTACCCAACTTCCTCTGGCAGTAGTACATCCTTAATAATCCTTTCAGAGATGTGGGTATTGGTGAACTTTCTGATCCCCTGACTGTCTATAAATTATATCAACCTTGCACTTGTGTGATGGTTTAATGACTATAGAATTACAGATTTAAGGTTTCTCTTCCCCTGAAATATTTGATCCAAAGCTATTGATCCAGGCTATTCTTGCATCCAGTGTTGCTAAAGTGGGTCTTCTATTAGACAGATTCTTCTACTTGGCAATATTCTTTTCCCCTTCAGAAGTGTTTCGGATTTGGTTCTTAAGTTTCACAACATTTCTATGTCTAGACCTGGGCCTGATCCACACTGGTTGTGCCCTTTCAGTCTTGAGTATTCATGCTGTATTATGTCTTTGAAAATTCTCTCTTATTATTTCTTTCAACACCGTGGCCCCCGTTCTCTTTATTCTCTCTTTCTGAAGTGTATTAGTTATAGGTCCTTCTAGATGTGTCATACAAGTGCCTTCAGTTTTCTTTCACACTTTCTCTCTCTTTATCTATGTATGTATCCATTTATTTATTTATTTATTTATTTTGTTATACCCAGCAGAATTCTTAACTTATTCTTGCAGATCACTAATTATCTTCAATTGTGTCCATCTTGCTATTCAACCCATCTATTGAATATTTTTTTGTTTCAAAGATCAAGCTTTTAAGTTTATAATCTCTTGATTCTTTTCATGAGATACAGTATTTTGCATCCCTAGTTACTGTAAAATTCCACTCTTGTTTAATTAACTCTTCGTGTAACAAGTCTTCTGTTTATTGAATTTATTGTCTCTCTTCAATGGTCTTGTTGTTCCCCAAATATTGGTAGTCTCTTATTATTTTTATTATTGTATGCTCATCTTTAAAATTGACATGCCCCATTATAATTCCACCACACCAGTTGAACCTTCTTGGGAAGATGTGTAGAAGATTTGACTTCAGCAGGTATTCTGGTCTGTTTTCAGTAAAATGAGAAGGGGTGGGTGGTGTTGGGAAGTGGCTTGGCCACCTATCTTGTGGCGGGGGAGATGTCCTCTAATTCCTTCTAGCCACTGGCACACTCCTTGTCATTGACCTATCTCTCCCACCCAAATATTCATTCCAGTTCCCTCCACTTGGCAGCAAACACCCATGTTACTACTGTTGGGCCCCCTGGGGAGTTTTATCAAGTGGCAGTACACATACAGGCAGGTTCTGTCCACTGCCTGTTTCCGACATAGTACCCCCAACTAATCACTCTGCCAGTTACTTCTAGGTTACCCCATGCTCCTATATCTGGTGTAGCTTCTACATTTTATTAAGTATTGTCTTGTGGGCACTTGGGGCTATGATGTATCATTCAGATCCATCTGATTTTCATTTTTCAGATGTTACAGGTTCCATGGTACTGAAGGATCCTTTTTTCCCTCTTAATTATAGTAGTAGATTTATCTATTTATTATACACTTCTTTCCTCTTAATTTTATGGATTGAGGCAGAAAAGGATGATTGTAAACCCCATTCTCAGTCAACCATTTTGAAATCGAAGTCCTCAATTTTTCTGTTATATTTTCTGATATTTTATTGATTTGTAAGAGCTCTTTATATATTGATGATATTAATACTTTGTCATATATGTTACAATGTATATTCTTTGGCCCTGAATTTTCTGAAGTTATAAACTTTTAAAAATAATTTTTATTTTAGAAATGTTCAAATATGTATAAAAGGAAAGAGAATAATAAAATAATAAATCCAATGGCCAATATTGTTTCATCTATACCCTTACCCACTATCCCTTCTCCTGATCATTTTGAAGTAAATCCCAGATATTATATCATTTCATCCTTAATTATTTAAGTATGTACCTCTAAAAGATAATGACTCTTTTTTTTTTTTAAAGTAGGCTCCACACCCAGCATGGAGCCCAACATGGGGTTCGAGCTCACAACCATGAGATCAAGGCCTGGGCTGAGATCAAGGGTCAGATGCTTAACTGACTGAGCCACCCAGGCACCCCAAAATAAGAACTCTTAAAACATAACCACAATACCATCAGCACACCTAAATATCAATAATTCCTTAATTTCATTGAATGAAGTGATTAATTTACACATTTTTCTTGTTGTTTTTAGATTAATGAGTTTTTAAGGGTTAATTCTGAAAACTTAAGTGACCATAATAAGTCCATAATGCTTACTTGATAGTTACATTTAGATAAATAAAACATCTCTTTTTTTACTGACTGCTGTCTAAAGAGACTCAGAAAAGCATGTCTATAAAGTTTAATTCTTTACTTGTCATCATTCTTTCTTATTTGAAAATTCAGGTTCTGACTATGATGGAAGAAAATGAAACAGTAGATAATATTGCAAAATTAGACCAAAAGGAATTTGGCCTGGATCTTGAAGAACTGGAAAGACTTCACGATGAAAATGAGGAAGAAGTGGCAAAGGTATTGAAAAATCTAATTTAGGCACCTGAAAGAAATATAATGAAAGAAGTAAAAAGAAAATGGGAAGGAGAACTTTTCTAGGATAATGCAAATAAAACAAAAACCTAGTGCATATAAATACAATGAGTCCAAGAATTATTAAATTTGGGAGTTAGGGGAAAGAAGAGTGTCTAGGCCAGCCACACATCTGATGTTTTGTCTCTCCTTCATGACATTTGTTCCAACCATCTTCCACCATATGTTTGAACATTTTTAGAAATCCTCTCAGCCATCTTATGCCAACTTTGGACCTTCTGGTTTAGTGAGCTCTTTCCTTTCCTTTTCTTTCTTTCTTGTAGGCTCCATACCCAGCATGGAGCCCAACGTGTGGCTTGAACTCATGACCCTGAGATCAAGACCTGAGCTGAGATCAAGAGTTGGATGCTTAACTGACTGAGCCACCCAGGCGCCACTAGCTCTTTCTTAATTACAATTGAAATCTTTCTCCCTTTATTCACTGACTTCTCTACCCTTTGAGCATCATCTACTCAATGGTCACTCTGAAAATAGAGAAGATTAGCAATTACCATGTTCCCTTTGTGTCTTGTCTTGTCTATGCTAGCGATCCCAGGTCCTATGGCCATCATATAATGTAGTTTCAATAGCTTCATCATCATCATGCATTTTCCCTCTGGTTTCATTATATTTGAGTATGGCATCCACAAAAGAATTCCAATTATTATCTGTCCAGTTTAGAGAAAAACACAAACTGAAACCTCTAATTCTCTAGATACTAAACTTCTATTGCTATAGACTTTGCATCTCTTTGTGGTGGTCACATTATATTGTTTACTTGTATGGATTTTATTTTAGGTCAAAGTCCTAATTGTGTTTTACACAGAATGTTCTTAAGCTACCTCTTTCTCAACCTGCACAGTACATTTGATTTTTTGAGTGTGCAAGAATAAAAATGTTTTTTTCTAAGCAAGAGAAGGAAATATGGTTGGATTCAAGGACATTTAAGTGGATTATAATTGATTCAACAACTATATCAAAACGAGGCTGATAATTTGATGCCTCTAGCAGAGAGGTTTCCAGTCATATGCTCCAGAACTCTCTCCTGTTAAGCATGTTAATTAATGACTGGGGTAAAGATATAGAAATGAGGCGTATTTGTCAAATTAGTGAATGACATGAGGCTGAGAAGGAAAGGAAATATATTGGATAACAGAATCAGGACCAAGAGGACCTTAATAATACTCAAAGAGGTAAAATTCACCTCAAGGAGGAAAAATTCATCTATCCATTCATTCATTCTGCAGCATTTATTGAACACCTATTACATGCCAGGCACTGTTGTCGGTGCTGGGAATACGATGACTGAGACAGATAGGTCCTGCCCACATGGAGCTAATCTGGTAGAGAAGACAGACCCTAAACAAATCTCTCTATATTGTATGATGTAAACTGAATTATGTGATGGATGTGAGGCATCTAGTTCTGTGGTCAAAGACCACTTGAAAGAGGTGACATTTCATTTGGGATTGAAAAGGAGAGGAGTTAGCTATGCAAAGAGTTAGGGGAAGAGAATGGCAGACTAAGGGCGCACCATGAATGAAGGCCCTGAGGCAGAAATGGAGTATTCCAGGAACAGAAAGGCCAGAAGGGCAGTAGCACAGTGGACAGGAGAGAGCTTCATGGAATGGGGTGGGAACAGAGGCCAGCTCTGAAGACCTCATACATCATGGTAAAGAATTTGGCTTTTGTTACGCTCAACAGAAAACTATTAGAAATGATCCCATTTTCTTATTTATAACAAATAGGCACCAATTTAGGGGCTTTTTCAATGTTACTTATTTTGATGGTCACAACCGTCCAAAAAGGTAGGTTGTTGTTGTCCTGACTTGAGGAAACTAAGCATTTGGACCTAGAATCACTTGGCTAATGTTTCATAACTTGAATAAAAACCAGGAAGCACTCCCAGTCTGCCTACCAGGCTTCAGGCTTTTCCCCTTCAACCCTGGCTTCATCCAAGCCTGGAATGCCTCCTCCCATTCTGGCACCAGGTTTTCCTAGCCTGCTCAGCTTGACCACTCTGCAGTGAGTTTGGGTCGGGTGCCTACCCCCATCCTCACTCTAGTGTTGCTTCTCCCTCCAAGCTCATGTGTGACCACTCATCCCCACAAACCTCCTCCTCTGGCCTACTGACCTACAGACCACTGATAAACCCACCCTGATTACCCCCACCCCATGCCTCCGCTCCAGATGCTCCTTGCCACTTAATCAAATTCCTGCACATTGTGATCTTCTGAGGCAGTCTTTGGTACAGAGAAAGTCTCCTCACATGCTTGTTTGCCCAATATTATTACTTTTTTTTTAAACTCTGGGCTTTAAAGAAATATTAGCCCCAGATTGGATGTGATAGTGAAACCAGATGGTCCAGCACAGAACAGGGTTAGCAGATAACACCATAAACCCAGGCACATTTGGGAAGAGACTACTAGTCCCTGGGAAGAGTTAGTGGTACCTACCTGTCAGGGATCCCAGTCCTAAAGGGACCAGGATATTAGTTAGCTCTGGTCAGGATTTCAACCATAGGGAAAGACCAAAGCCCAGTAATGACAACCTGGACACAGAAATAGGGACGGAGTCTGGAGGAGTTGATCAAATAGCCTCAGCAGTGGAGAGGGGAGGGCTGGGTAGGCTGGGAATCAGGCAGGTTCTGAACTGATAGGCCAAAACAGCTGTTTATTTAAGGAAAAAATAATTTAAAACTGTATTAACCATTAACTCAATGGATAAAAAAGAAATAAAATGCAAATTAAACAAAGCCTTTGATCAGACAATGAATAAAATAAACATGAATGATCGAATGAACAAGTATGACATTTTCTAATCCAGGGGATATTATTCTTAACTAGTTTGCTGATAATTCTGCCAACAAAGAGAAATGCAAAAGAGGTTCTGAAGAGGATCCTAAGGACTAAAGATTGTTGGTCCTCACTTTCATATTAGGTCTTTTAGCAAACTCCATTAAAACAAGAATTCTTAATCACTTAAAGGTCAAGCAGTTGGCTTACTTAAGCAGATAAAACCAATTGAGGTAACATATGTTTCTAAATGAGAAAAGGTCAATCATATGATCCCCAAGAGTCATGGGACATTTATTTATAGTGGATATAAATAATAGAAGAATTAAGTGACCCCAAGACAGAGGTCACAAACTGGCACTTCAAATATGCATTGACAAGAATTAAGCCAACATTTAGATATCTGGTAGTTTCATAAAAAGTACACATTTTCAAACTTCTCTAACAAAACAGGAAGACCTGGCATTAGTGGGTTCGCTCCCCAGCCCTGCACCAACCCGCCAGATCTGTGATAGTGTGCATTTTAGCTGTCTAGCCCACCATGGCCATGCAGCTGGCCTCACACCAACTTGGCTCATGTTTAGGACCTGTCTGCCTTTAGAGGTGTTTATGTTGATACCCTGGTCCTCAAGGAAGGGAATTCCAAGCCTCCAGACTAAACTTTAGGAAAGGTCCTTGAGACAGGAAAGTGTTTCTCCCCAAGTGCATCTCAGCACGGGACAGTTCCGTGTGGTGGGGCAAGAAGACAGCCACTAAATGTGCAGCCGTGACTGATTAGTGAATTTATAATTCAGATTATTTTTTAAGAAGCCACATATTCATGTTTATTTTTTCCCTTCATCTACGTTCTGCAAGATAAGAAAGGATGCAGAGATGCATAACCTCGCCAAGGCCTATTTGGCTGAACTTATTAAAGAAGAATGCTGGAATTCGATGGCTGTGAAAGGTCGAGCTCTTAAGGTAACAGACATAATTCCAGGTACAACACCTTAGCTGATGAGAACTTTCATTGAAAGTCTCATGGCAGAAAATTTTTTTAAATAATTTTAAGATAATGCATACGTGGAAAAACATTCAGAGCATCCTTGCCCTCCCTATACCAAATTCCACCTAGTTGTGACACTTTCTCTTGTTATCATTCTTCCCTCTCTGCTCAGTCCCTGTGCACTTCCAAGCCACCATCTCTTAAGATTTTCTTTCCTCGGGCGCCTGGGTGGCTCAGTTGGTTAAGCGACTGCCTTCGGCTCAGGTCATGATCCTGGAGTACCGGGATCGAGTCCCGCATCGGGCTCCTTGCTCAGCGAGGAGTCTGCTTCTCCCTCTGACCCTCCCCACCTCATGCTTTCTCTCTCTCTCAAATAAATAAATAAAATCTTTAAAAAAAAAAAAAAAGATTTTCTTTCCTCTATGAACTACCTGCATCCACTCTTCATATCTATCTCTTCCAAAAGGCCACTTCACTCACATTCCACATAGATCGAAAACTAGACATAATATTGTTCACAGTTCTACCTGTACCCTCTAAACATCTGGGTTTTTAATGCTTTTTCATTGAGATTCCTCCCAACACAATTTCCCTCTTTGTGTAGGGTGACCAGAAGTCCCAGTTTATGCCTATGGTCCTAGAGTTAACTATAAGAGCACCCTTCTCACTTTCAAATATGCCTCCCTCCAATTTGGATAATGAAGTATATGGCCACACTACATATTTGTGATTGAGTATTGCTCTTAAACAGGGTTTCATTAGAGCGGCACATTTGGGGCTGGATAATTCTTTGTTGTGGGGGTTGTTCTGTGGATTGTAGGATATTTTGGCCTCTATCTACTAGGCCCCAGTAGTATCCAAAACTCCCATTAGTGAAAATCAAATATATCTCCAGATATTGCCAAATGTCCCTGGAGGGCTGGGGAGGAGGGAGACAGGGCAAGCAAAATCACTCCTAGTTGAGAACCACTGCTCTAGAAATAAATCCCTCACAAAAGCACAGTATTTCTACCCAAAGTTTACATCATTACTAATGATGTACATTGTTTTATTTTAAAGAAAGTTTCCACTGTCAATTCCACTCACGCATGATGACCTATGAATTCATTTTGATCAGGGATAATATCCCTCACTCCACCTCTGATACGCACAATGGTACTACAAATGAATTTATTTCATCTTGCTTTTTTTTTTTTTCTAAGTGCTTTCACATGCCCTACGTGGTTGAGAACTTTCCAATGAAAGAACGCACGGAAGAAGAGTTGAAAGAATTAAAGAGAGTTTTGCAGCAAAAGAAGATTGAAACAGAATGTCTTAAAGTACAATTTTAAATATATATGTGTTATTTATATAAGTAATGTGTTTTATTTTAGGGTCTCCATACAGATTTGAGTTAGGATACAGCTTAAGATAAGTTTAGATATTGTTTACATTTTCATTACTTGTTAATTTGTAGAATATATTTTAATAAATATAGGAGCTAAATCCACACAGTAAATCAAGAAGCCTATAATCATATACAATACTAGCTAGCCCTCAAATAGGAGGACATGCTTTCAAAAAATGAGATTTGGGGTTTTGTTCTTGTTCTGGTCAGAAGTTGTCTTCATCTACCCTACTCTTTTTATCTTCTTTTATCACGAGGGATTATATTTTTAAATAATTGACCAAAGATGAAGTAGTATCTGTTTTGGTGGAATTATGGTTTTCCTATGTTTGTTTGTTTGTTTGTTTTAAAACAGCAATCTCTATCAGACCACTAGAAAAACATTTCCCATCAATGTAGTTTTGGTCAGAACTTTGCATCCATTCTTTTTCTGAAACATAAAATGAAGGCATTCTTCAAGTCTTCTTAACCTACACTCGTCAGTCTTATGTGAATAAGTTTCTTTGTAAATATGAAGAGAAGGTATATTTTTTAATGTTTAGGTACCAAGAAAGACTCATGATATTTATAAGCAGTTGTCATTCTGACAGAAATATAAATTATTACATACTGTCAAAGACAATTTTTACTCTCTTGACTTATCCACACTTTATCAGTTTCCAAAGCTTAAATCTCTTCTGAATCAGGATCTATCCATCACTTTGAATTCAGTTGTTGACAAGACAATGTAACATCTAAAATGACTGAAATATTTAAGTTGTCACAAAATTGCCCTTTAGAGAATTCTTATTCTTGCATAACTTTCGTGTCACCTTTTTCTATATTAAGCTACGGAAGGAAATTGTAGAGGTTCAGCCTACAATTACCTTGGTTAAGAAGCATCATGAAGAGGAGGATGAAGAAGAAGAAGAAGAAGTGGCAGTAAAAAATTCCAACTTGCCCAATTACCTGCTTGGCAGTCTGAGTACTGATTTTGGTGTACAAGCCCCTTTGTTGTCAAGCCAATTGGAACTTCATTCCAGAGAGGAGAAAATAAACCAAATTATATTACTGAAAGTAGGTGAATTTTTTCTTTATCCTCTAAAATCTCTAAAACTCCCCATGAGGCATCTTGCAAAGGCTCAAATTGAAATCTAATGCTAACCAAATGATGTCTTTAAGGTACATAGAGAAATATCCAGATGGCTAGTGTGTCCATGTTCTTCAAACAGAACTTGTGTACAAGAGTTGCTTTCATCTCTTTGGACTGGGTTCTATGATAACAGGTTTTCTGAAGAATACCTACCCTGGCTGACACCACAAACAAACTCTTCTTCTACTTAGATTTTCAGTAAGCTCAAAGATAAAAGAGATCCTTGAATGCCATCTTCTAGGTAACTCAGATGTCTGTTAGATCAAGATATGATTGCTTATCTATCCCCTTAACCTGGGGAAATACAATTTCCTCTCTAAGACTTCCATAACTTCTCTTCTGGGACTCAGGAATAAGGTGCAATATCCCACACACTCTAAGCTCCTACTCCTTACTCTCCACTGAACAAGTCAGTCTCAGAACACATCTGTATATACCTACCAAAAGTTTTTGAAATTTCAGTGACAGACTGCACCAATGTGGATGCTTCAAAATTTAATGTTGGCCGTTCCTTTTCCTGAAAGTCCTCCAACCATATCTGCCATTTGAGTTCCAGCCTCCTACCATGATACTCTGCTCTCTCTTCCTATTTTTTTCTTTTCTTCTCCTCCTCCAACCCCTGAAATTCCTGTGCATTTATATCCAAAACTGTTTAGTTATCTCTTTTGTTGCTCAGCTTTTGCTGACCCATGCCCTCAGTGTCTCACCTTTCTGCTGTCTTATTAAGGCATTGTCCTACAAGGTTAGTTTCAGCCCAAGAGAAATTCTGGTGTCATCTGTTAAGATCATCTTTCTACCTGCTTTAATGGTTTCATCTTCAGTAGGATAGACATACAGACTGAACTCTGACGGTAAAATAAGGCTACTTTAGTTGACCATCATTCCACTCACCAGCACAGGTGGGAACAATCCAATCGGACCCACGGCCACCTGGACAACTGGCTGATCCAGCTAGCCAACTTAGGTCCCCATCCTACCTGAGAATGACCTGACCATATTGTGTATGGTTGTGCTTTTCTGGAAATTCTCCAAACAACCTCTATAGGCCATCCTTTCCTTACCACATCTCCCCCAAACAAGGCTTCAAAGGAAAGACATTTCCCAATTTAAAGATCACATATCACTTTTTAAGTATTTTATTATGGATTTTTTTAGGACATATACAGAAATTGAGAGAATAGCCCAAAGAGTCTCCCAAGTATCCATCATCTACTTCAGCATTTATCAACATACCTGCATACTGAGTTACGGTTTCCATTTCAGGAAGTAGATTGTGATATAACAGTTATGCTATTGCCTTAATCCTACCCATGATAGGATGCCACTGTGGATTACTGAACCAAGAAATGACTTAATATAAACTGTATTTTAGAAAGATTAGCTTCCTGATAATTTATAAAGTGATTTTGGAAGGAAAGTAAAACCATGAGACCATGTTACTAGTAATGATCTATAACATGTGATGTGTTCTCAGTATTACATTGATATTTCAGGATGTCATTTACAAGGTAAAAACTGCTTTCAACAATGAGTTTGATGCTGCATATAAACAAAAAGAGTTTGAAGTTGCACGTGTGAAGGAAAGAAATGTAAGAATTAAAGAAATTATTTTAGATTTGGACTTGGAAGAAGTGGTCTGGCAACCAGAATTTGATGATTGTGAGAAGCCAGAGAGAACCCTCGTTGTGGAAAACAAAGAGGTACTGGCTAGCTGTGTTATCCCGTCCCTTTTCTCTCAGGACATTTTCCCACATTCTTACTTATTCATCTCCCTGTGTGCAGTGCAGTGCTGGAAGTGACTGTATCACGTGGTATTCTTGGTCACAAGAAACAACAACAGTTGACATTGCCTCAGCAATGATGAGAATTTCTTTTGGAATCCTATGGAATCTAGGGAAGATTTGGATGTCAAGCCTAGAAGGAAGCAGGGACCAAAGACTGAAATCTCTTGGGGAGTCAAGAAGTCCACTTTCTTCATCTCTTAGCTCACCTCTGTCTGCATTTCACCTTCCTCTAGCAGTTTCTACTTTATTTCTCCTCACTCAAGCAGACAGCTGGTCCAAACTAGAACCACTTAGTCCTAATTCCACATTTGACTAGAAAGAGTTTCATTGACCCAGCTTGGGTCCAGTGCCTGTATCAAAGAAGGTTGGATCACATTGTGGAAGAGAGCCTGATGAAGTTCCAGTAATTATCTGGGTCACTAAGGCAGGATAGATCCCAGAGAAAGGGGGCTCAGTGGTCAGCCTTTTTTTTTTTTTTTAAGAGAGAGTGTGAGGCAAAGGGGTGGGGGGCCGTGCAGAGGGAGAGGGAGAGGGAGAGAGAGAATCTTAAGCAGGCTGCACGACCAGTCCAGGGACCAACATAGGGCTCGATCTCACCACCCTGAGATCATGACCGGAGCAGAAATCAAGAGTCGGATGCTTAACCGACTGAACCACCCAGGCACCCCACTGGTCAGCCTTCTTAAAAGGTGTTTGGCCAGAGGTGGTTACAAGTAAATGCCTAAAGAAAATAATTAAAATATAACCAAATTTAAAATACTAAAAAAAAAAAAAAAAAAAAATCCGCTCTCATATGAAACCAGCTTGATTGCTTTGAGATAAAAAGTAATAGTGTTACTTAGAAATAACAGCAAACACTTATATAGTCCCTATTAAAAGCCAGGTACTGTTCTAAGTGCCCTAGATAGATGGAAACTAATTTATCATTATAAGACCTTACAAGGTAGGTACTAATATTACCTCTATTTTACAGATAAGGGAAGTAAGGCACAGAGAGGTTAAGTAGCTTGACCACCGTTAGAAAGCTAGTAAGTGACAGATTTGGGGTCTGAACGCAAACCCTTATCCTTCAGAGTACATCTTCATCTCTACAGTCTACTGTACTTGTTTAAGGAAATTATTTCTTCCAGAACCGGTCTCCTGCCATGTAACCTAAGTCTCTGGAGCACTGTGATAGCAAGGACCTCTCTCTGCGGCTCTCACCAAGATCCTGCTGGGGGCAGTCTTTGTATGTGCATAATTAACCTCACCACACTTGCTTCTTCTCTAATCCCTTCTACATCAGGAGAGTGATCTTGTTACAAGCCAAACTTATTATGTCTTTCCCTTGCTTAAAACCCTGCAGTGGCTGCTCATTTCACCTCAGATAACAAGCCCCTTTGTGACTGCCTACCTTGCTCTGGGCCAGCCACACTCTCGTTCCCACAATTCCTTGAATGCTCCAAGCTATTGACCTCGCAGGACCCCCATCCTACAGGATTTGGCTTAGATGACATTCCTTTGAACCCCTTTCCTGTCCCTCTAGTCTAAATCAGATCCCTGTTATAATCTCTTTAGTGATGGAGAAGAGCTTTGAGAGCTAATAGAGAAGTAACGATCAATTTTCCCAACGCTCTCATTCTAGATCTCATCTTTGTCCCAAGATAGGAAATTGATTGTGAAATCTGGATGGTTCCTTTATCCTCTCGATACCTTCTAACCTCCTCCCTGCTGTGTGAAAGGAAGGTTTGGTTTAAATTGTGTAAGAAGAACAGCATTAAACTACATTTTCTCTTTCAGATTACAGCTCAGAAAATGCTTAATCCATGGCTGAAAGCCAAAGCAGAATTGACCGCAACCCGTGAAATGGAGCGATGGCTTCTGACACGGGTATGCAGTTTTGCTCAAACGTACCTAAGACCCTCTTTCCTTTAGGTATATTTGTTCCTAATTTGATTGAATTGTCTTGTACTTTACTCCACTATAGAAACACATCATGGCATTTGTCATGGTCAGAGATCCCTGGAATCTCAGGGGCCTCCTTCTCCTCTTCCCTTCATGCCACTCGCCACCCTCCCCAATTCTAAATGCAGTCATTCTAACATTGGGTGGGAGGCTGCCTCTGGTTCTACCAGAGGGCCAGGTCTCTGTCTTAGCTACCCTCCCTGACCCTGGCTCTTTTCCAGGGCCCCGACACAAGGCACCGAGCCCTGATGGACATGATGGGAGGAGTTCTGGAAGTCAAGAAGGAAGATATTTTGAGAATGGTGAGATTTCTGGACATTCTTATGGAAGATGGAATGGGGTAGAGAGAGCTACTCAAATTTGATCGTTTTTGTCTATATTGACCCGAATTTTAGAAATTCTACAGCAACAAATATACAACCTCCCAGTACCTCATAAATATACCACATTAGGCAAATAAGAAATTTGAAACTGTGGACTTGCCTCCCTATCTTACATAAACCAAACAAAAGAACAAAACAAGCAAACTGGTTTTGGTCTGGATAGAAAGCAATGATAATGTTGCATCTGTAATTCTCTGGATATAATATGAAACATTCCCTTTGATATGTGCCTTAGGTGTCCCTGGAGCCCAGGTGTAGTTCTAACTATGAAGATATCAACATACATCTCTGACCCTGTCACCTAAGAGTTTCTATATGTCCCAAATTGCCCACTCTCGCTTATGTTCACAGAAAAGCAGTTGTAACTTTTTTCATGTACTTTCTTCAAAGTGTCAGGCCATTGTCTTGCCAATGTGAAGAACTATATCCCTTGAAAGGGCTCTTTTTTTTTTTTTAACTGTAATGATAACTCTGACCTTTTACTGTACTGCTATATTTATGTTTGAGCCACGGTATATGCTTTCCTTTTTATCTTCAGGTGATTCCTCAACCTGCTTTCATGGTAAAACCTGATGCTCTATGGTCTGAAGAGGAGAGGAAACAAGTCAAAGACTATGAGAAGAAAGTCAAAGAGTTAAATGAAGAAAGAGATAAGTATAGAAAGGTCAGAAGAGCAAAGAATTAATATACCCTACCACGGTTTTGTTCCAGTATGTTTTCAAATTAAGTGTTCTTTATTCCCTCAGTGTTGTTAGTAGCTTAAGGATACTGTTTCAGCTTAAATTCTCAAGAGAATTTGGGGAAGTGGGTAGAGATAAGTTTGAAGAGTTAACACAATTTAAAACAAAAAGAGTGTGTTGCAATTTTTTTTAAAGTTCTTGTTGATTTCAACATTTCCCAGATCGTTACAGTTCATTTGGTCCTCCATTCTTCAAATGTTTAATGAACATCTATGAGACTATGTTCTAGGCACTGCTCTGTATCTTCCACATCTGTTTGAGTTCAGTCATAACTCTTGCTTGATTTCCTCTCAATCTCAAGAAAAGGACCTGACAGAAGAATGACACAATCAGCAGCACATACTTTACAGCTGTAACTTGAGATATTTGCAAAGCAGTTCTCCCACTGATACCTCCTTGCATCTCAAAGAAACATTCCCACATTAAAATTGCTTACAGTTCACAGACCTGTGCCCCTGAAACAAATAATACATTATATGTTAATTTAAAAAAAAGAAAAAAGAAAAATGCTTACAAATATAATAGAGATATAAAAACGGATGGTGTACAACCAAATAAAAAGTATCTATTCCAGGGGCGCCTGGGTGGCTCAGTCGGTTAAGTGGCTACCTTCAGCTCAGGTCATGATCTTGGGATCCTGGGATTGAGCCCCATGTCCGGCTCCCTGCTCGGCGGAGAGCCTGCTTCTCCCTCTTCCTCTGCCTGCCACTCTGCCTACTTGTGCTCTCTACCTATCTGTCGAATAAACAAATAAAATCTTTAAAAAAAAGTATTCCGCTATGAAGAAGGTAAAATCATGGCATTATTTGAGGCAGGGCAGTTTGTCAGCTTTATAGTGGCTGTATCTCATGAGCAACTTCTTTAGATCTATTGATAACCTGTTCCCATTTTTATTCACTGCAGTCCTCTAACAGTGCCCTCACATTTCATCCTAAGATAGTATTTCCCAAAAAGCCAAAATGAGCAGTCTTGAATGCAGTGAAATTTTCAAGCAGTTAGGGAGTATAGATGCCTAAGGTGGTAGCATTTATTCCATGATCTCATATTGTGAAATAGTCTGCTGCTGACACTCTCACCTCCCTGCTCCTTGGTCAAATTCAGTGGGTAAAAGCCAGCCATGGCTAAAGCCAGTACTCAGCCTTCTCTGCACCTGCACCACGCACCACGATGTGGGTAAAGAAAAAAATACTAACTGATTTCCCTCCAATGACCTTAATCTTTACTGGGTCTTCAGAGCTGTTTGGTGATGCTATTCCATTTCCCCACCCCTAGCTGACTCCATACCACCTGAGGGATCTTGTCAAGAATATTTGACTTGATTCTGTCATTTTGAGGAAATGGAAGGATCCTGAGATTTCTAACAAGCAGCCTGGTGGTGTGGCTTGCTGCTGGTCAGAGGAGAACACTTTAAGTGGCAAGATCCTCGAGAAACATGTCCCACATTCTCCTCTGTCTCCAAACTTCCAACACCTGACCCCCTTGGCTCACTCACCTCATATTCTATTTCACTGGGAGGGGAGAAGCAACTAGAAGAGATTTTCCTTACTCTCCCACTCCCACATCTACCTCCCACCTGCACAGAATCCATAGACTCTCCCTTTCTGTTTCTTAGGGATGAAATGACCTTGCACCTGCCCAAGCCTGGTCCTCCACTTGTGCACCTGATCCCATCCCATCTTACCATTCGGGCAATTTGCCCCTTTTTCCTACATCAATTTTTCCCTCCAGCATAGACATGTTGTAATATTATACATTGGATACATCTCTCATTGTATAGAAAAGAGAATGAGAAAGAAAAAGAGACTCCCTTGAAGAGGATTCTGGAATTCTTTCTACTATCCTTATGACTTTTGAGTTAGTCTGAATTTATTTCAAAGTAAGTTAAAAGGGAAAAAAAAGTCCCTGGACCCAACTTTCCTCTCAATCCACTGCCCAGTATCTCCTCAGAAAACCCCTGGAAAAATCTGTCTTCACTGTCTCCAATTTCTCTTTTCTCAGTCTATTGGAAAAACCTTTATATTATGGAAAATGTCAAACATATAAAAACGTAGAGAGAATAGTATAATGACCCCCTCATCCAGCTTCAACAATTATCCAAGTCATGGCAAATCTTATGTCATTGTATATCTCTGCCAATTTTCCCAATATGAGATTATTTTTTTGCCAATTTTTATTTTAGAATTATTCAAATGTACAGATATGTTGCGTGAGAAGTACAATCTATGTACCATATACCTATGTCATAGTGCATCCATATTCTGTAAATCTAGTATACCTACACCATATACCTTAACCCACCAGCTTTTAATATTGCCACATTTTTTTGCATTTTGTATTTTTCTCCTGACTTGTATGTATATAACATATATATATGACATCAAAACTCCGTATTATTACCTCCAATTCCAGTTTTGGCTAAGATCAAGTGTAGTGTCTGTTCTTATCAGTTTAATATCTGATATGTCATTTATCCGATTCCAATTGAACATACCCTAAGGTTCTTCTCCCTTTCCCTAATTTAGCATGTAGATCTCCTTTCTCAGTGCAAGCTCTAGTTCCCCAGATATATTTATTCATTTGCTCAGTCCTACAATATACGTATAATGTCTCTACCAAAAGCAAAACTTCTTGGTAGGTTTTAAGATTTCCTTGCACCTCTTTTTGTTCTCAGGATATATCTCATGGAGGGCAGACCACCTGCACATTATATTCAGAATTTATTTGGACTAATCCTTTTTTCCCCTTCTGTGGGGATAACATTATCAACTTGATATAAAGTTCTTCATGCAGCGCTGTTCTTATTTCAGGGGGAAGAGACCACCAGTGCGTCTTCTGATTTCATGATTTTCTTTTGTTTCTGCAGGACCCTTAATCTTCACTTCTTCCTTTCTTCTTTCCTTTCACCCAAGTCTCCAAGAGGCCCCTCCCTCTTCCACGCTGCCTCACTCTCCCCAGAAGCAGCACTGCCTGAGACTGCACCTCCAGTCCCTTCGTTATGATTTTCCAGGAGCTTCTTTTTGGGCACCACAACAACTCCCACCCTACTCCAAACACCAGCATCTCTTACCCGATTTATGGCATTAGTTTCTCTGCCCTCCTGGTCCCCTGATCTGTACCCCTCCCATTTTACCTCCCACCACTCTCCTGGAAACTCCTTGGTGTTCCTCAAAGATACCCAGCACACTCTTGACGCCAGGACCCACAGCTCATTCTTGCCATGGGCCCTTGACATGCTGTGGCCGATACCTGGGGTACTCTTACCCCATTTAGCCATACGGCTTGCTGCCTCACCTCTTTTGGATCTCTACTCAGTTGTCATCTCATCTTCCTACATAGCAGGGCAAACTCCCTCCCCACCAGCCCCGCTCTATTGTTCTCCAGAGTGCTCATCCCCACCTGGCCTACATCATCCGTACTTGTTTACACGTTACCTGAATCCTCTACTAGAATGTAACATGAGGGAAGAGAATTGGTCTGTTTTGTTCATTACTATATTCCAAGTTTTGAGAACTGTGCTTGACCCATAATAAGCACTCAGTAAATATTTCCTGAATGAATAGATAAATTTATTGACAGCTATTATGTGCCAGGCACTCTCCTAGGGCCTGGTGATTTGCAGATGAAAGGCTACCACCTTCACCCTTAAGAGCCTAGTCTGGTCAACTACAGCAATACCTTCTTAAATTGCAGGCCATGTTTTTGTCCAGGGCTGGGAGAAATTCTTGGTCTGATGGATTCCGCATTGTTCATCCTTACCCTCCTATTTAGTCTCCCACCTTTCATCTCCCCTGCTTCTCATTTTGCAGCATCTGATACAGTTTTGGTTAAAATTAGATTTTCCCAGGAATGTTTGAGGAAAAGTGACACCCAATTCTTTAACAAATATTCCTTTGATTCTCACTATGGCTGGTCACTGTGTCGGGTCCCAAGAGACACTTGCTGAATAGACAGACACAGCTCTGGCCCCTCCCGGTGTTCACTGCCTTGGGGGGTGGGCAGTTACACATTAACTGAACATTCACAGAATAGTTATTTAACTGCAGTGTGATGAATCAGGATGGACAAGTTCAGGTGCCACCTATGACAGTAAACACAGAGGCACTGACGTAGATTGAGGCCACTGGTATTCACTAGGTCCCCTTTTCAGGCTGGCGTGCCCATCCCCTTACGTCTGTGCATGTTGCAGCTAAAGCCTCATACCTGAGACCTCTGGTGCCTTGGCTCATCAAGGGGGCATCCTTGTTATAGCATACAAGGCTATATCACTGCCCCTATCCAGAAAAGCCTGTGACTGACTGATGAGATGGGGATACAAAAGTCCCGCCCAGTTGGCCCAAATTGGGACAGCTCAGCAGAGCCTCTGTATTACCCTTGAACCCCTGGGAATCAGGCAAAGGCTGGGCCACCTAAGAGCACATTATTGCTCAGCTCCTGCCCCTTCCCTGCCTGCTTCCCTTCCCCATTTTACAGGTGTCTCTGAAAAAGCACTCCCTCCAAAAATTGCATACACTGGAATCCTGTGTATGCAATTGGACAGGCTTTGCTTCTAAGACTCAAGGTAGTGCCTAAGACAGGACCCAAGGTAGGCTTACTTGAGAAAGTGGCTTTTATGCTCAAGTTGGAAGAATGAGAAAAATGACAGGTTGAAGAGCAAGGAATGGAGATCAGACAGATGGAAAAGCACATGAGAAGGGCCTGCAGTGAGAAGAATGTGGGACATTTGAAGCACAGAGCAAAAGGCCGTTCTAACACTAAAAGAGTTCCTTTCAGACTGGAGAGAAGGGTGGGCTTCAGACCCTTGGACAATCTGGTCCCAGCAGGCTGAGCCTTTGGTCATTTGCCATGTGATGGTGCTTCCATTGTCCAGGAACACATGGCTTTGATACACAACTACTGGGCCCACAGTCCATGGGATTTTTTCCATTTCTATGAGATTGTGTCATAAACTATGGCAAGCAAACTGACCCTGAAGTGTGCTTTTCCTGTATTTGTTCTATTTTAGTATTTCGTCATTGCTTAATTAGCTTTATTTGGGTGGTGTTTCTCCTTGTGTCAAGTGCCTCTACATTTTGCTAAACTCTCTCCATCACCTTCCTAGAATTAGTCTCTCTCTTCATTAAACCAGCATAGACAGAACTTGGCTTTTTCTTTAACTTAAGAGAGAGCACACATGCATGCATGCACGCACTCCTGTGCAAGAGGGGTGGGGGAGGGGCAAAGGGAAAAGGAGAGAGAGAATCTTAAGCAGGCTCCAAAGCCAGCACGGAGCCTGATGCAGGGCTGTCTCATGCCCTGAGATCATGACCTGAGCCAAAATCAAGAGCTGGACACTTTAATGATGTACAAATGTTGTCTAATTGGACAAAACAATAAAAATAAATAAATAGAAATAAATATTTTTAAAAAGGAGCTGGACACTTAACCAACTGAGCCACCCAGGTACCCCAGAACTTAGCTTTTTAAAGTAAATTTAAAATAATAATTCTATCATTACCATCACCATAATAATTTATTCAAGTAAGGATTATCAATGGATGCTAAAACTGGTGGATAAAAGTTTGATGAGGAACAAGATTTTTACATGGTTTCTAAGTATCTTCCCACAAATTAATTAATTACAAATGGAAAAACAGTAACTGTACAATAGAGAAACTGGCAGACACTACTTAACCAAGTGATCACAGTTAACATCATCAATGATGAAACAAACCCACATCATGTCTCCTCATATGGTACACTGAGAAGGGTACAACATGATTCATGTGGTGTTCCTGTTAGTAACGTACCACCTGGTTTAAGCATGAGAAAACATCAGACAGAGCTAAACTCAGTGACAGTCTGCAAAATGACTCACCTGTATTTGAGTGTCTGCAGCTTGTTCTCAAATGATCAAGAAAAAGATAGAGCTAGGGAGAGAGAAAGAGAAGAGATTGAGCAAGTGATAAATCAAATGGGGCAGAATATTAGCAATTGATTAATACGATAAAAAGTATATGGGAATTCTGGGGTGCCTGGGTGGCTCCATCATTAAGCGTCTGCCTTCGGCTCAGGTCGTGATCCCAGGGTCCTGGGATCGAGCCCCGCATCGGGCTCCCTGCTCCACGGGAAGCCTGCTCCTCCCTCTCCCACTCCCCCTGCTGTGTTCCCTCTCTCGCTGTGTCTCTCTTTGTCAAATAAATAAATAAAATCTTTAAAAAAAAAAAAGTATATGGGAATTCTTTGTACTACTATTCTTATAACTTTTCTGTAAATTTAAAGTTAAATCAAAATCTTAAAGTTACAAAAACTTTTAAAGATAAAAATTATTTGTAATAGTATGTCTAGGATTGATCTGCTGACATTTCTTTAAAAATAAAAATTTATAGGGGCTCCGGCTCAGTCAGTTAAACATGCGGCTCTTGGTTTTGGCTCAGGTCATGATCTCATAGGTTGTGAGATTGAGCCCCGCATCAGGCCCCGTGAACAGCAAGGGGTCTGCTTGAAATTCTCTCCCTCTGCCTTTCCCCACTCATGTGCATGGTTGTGTGCACGCACCTCTCTCTCTCAAATGAATCTTTTAAAAAATAAATATAAATTTATAGCTTTCTACTTACCTACTGTGTGTTTAGCTCTAAGTCCTTGTAGAATTTTTAAAAAGTAGGAGGAGAGAGGGTAGATGGGACTTTTTCCCCCTGATGTAGATGTTTTGGAGAGACAACAAATACAGAAAACAAAAGAGAGTATAACTATATATGTTATATCTCCATCTGTCTATATCTGTATTTCTATCTCTGTATCTACCTCTATATCTACATACTCAGTCTTTATTTCCTTAAAATCTAAAAAATTCCATGAAGATATATCATGGCTTTTAAAAAAAAATCAAGATCTTTTAGGACCAGATTGTATACCTGGAAATTTCTGTCTTACAGAGAGAGGGTCAGAATTTCCCAGAAAGATTTGCTGAGATTTGTTTTAATAGGCCTATCTCTGCCTGCACCATTAGCCATGATCAGTTATTTCCTCTTTTTTCCCCAGTGTAATCTTTTTAAAGCAAAAATCTCAGACTCACAATATATTAAACAGATCCAGGTGGAACATCTCTGGTTGAAGAGGGTGGAGGGCCCAGGACACTTCACAAGGCCTGTCCTCCCCCTGCACCCCTCCCTTGCAGCACAATGTGAACACCCCTTCCTTGGAGCATTTGATGTTCCTAGATGTTAATTTTGTTATCGACTTCCTTCCAGTCATTAGAAGCAGAAATGAAGAAACTTCAAAACTCCATTCAAGAAAGCACACAGAATTTTGATGAACATTTGAAAAGACTCTTTGAAAGGAGAGTGAAGGCAGAGATGGTTGTCAACCAGGTAAGTAGAAGCTTTACTTACAAGGCCTTTTCTTTTTAAGGAGCCTCGGGGGCCTCTCTTTGTTCTTAGAAAAAAGACCAACACCCTTTCTGGCACCATGGTCCTGCTTGTCCTGGCCTGATTCCTGCTCCATCCTCACCTCTGCCACCCTCCCCCTCACTGCCATGCTTCCTCCGCCACCCTCCCCCTCACTGCCATGCTTCCTCCTCTGGTGCCTTGAACTCACCTCGGTGCCCCTTCCTCCCAGCTCTGCCTCCTGGCCCCTATCTACTCAGCTACATATGTCAGGTTCCAGCTTACAAGCCAGTTCCTCAGACTAGGCTAGAGCCTCCTAGTATATGCTCTGTTCTTTTACTTTCTCAAACTTATTGCAACTGAATTTTAATTTATATGAAATTACTTTTTAATGCTCCCAAAACTATAAGGCTGTCTGATTCATCCCTGTATCTCCAGAAACTAGCAAAGGGCCGGGCTCATACTATGTGTTAAATGAATGAATAATCCACTTGCCCCAAAAGATCCGATGAAAAATCTGGCTTAATTTGACTCAGCAGTAAGAATATAAATGACGTGTACAGTAACTAGAAACAAGAAGACCAAGCAGTGAAGCCTTTAAATTCTGAGGGAAAATTATTCCTAGCATGGGAATCTATACCTGATCAAACTAACAGTTGAGTGTAAGGGAAAATAATGATATTTTGAGAAATACAAGATCTCAAGGGCGCCTGGGTGGCTCAGTTGGTTAAGCAACTGCCTTCGGCTCAGGTCATGATCCTGGAGTCCCAGGATCGAGTCCCTCATCAGGCTCCCTGCTCAGCAGGGAATCTGCTTCTCCCTCTGACCCTCCTCCCTCTCATGCTCTCTGTCTCTCATTCTCTCTCTCTCAAATAAATAAATAAAATCTTTAAAAAAAAAAAAAAAAGAAATACAAGATCTCAAAAATTTATATGTATCTTCCAAAGCAAGGGGGGTCAGCCAAAAAAGATGAGAGAAGATAAGGGAACCTCTAGGAGGTTGTCTCTATCCTCGGGGTCCCAACAGGAATGGTACACTGAAAGTGTTACATTTAAGAGGTTTAATGCAAGGACTCTTTACGGAGGTATAGTCAGGGTTAAGGGGAAACAGCAAGGAATGGTGAAAAACTAAGAGATTAGAAGTAGCAGGAAGGCAGTAACATCACTAGAGCTAAAGAGGCAAAGGAAGGGAGCTGCTACGAGGACCCAGCAAGACCTGTAGCCTTGAGAGAGAGGCTGCTCTTTGGGAGTCTTGGCCATAGAACATAACCACTGGCCCAGCAGGGAGGGAGTGTGTGTATGGTAGTTGGGTGGGGGGACACTGGGAATAAATGCCCCAGCACTAGTCATAAGAGCCGCATTAATCATAATGCCCAAAAAGTGGAAACAATCCAAATGTCCAACAACTACATATGGATAAATAAAATACGGTTTATCCATATAATGGAATATTATTTGGCAATAGAAAGTTCTAATACATTGTACAACATGGATGAACCTTGACTTGTATGAAATTAATGAATTGTATGAAATATATCTTAATAAAGCTGTTATTTTAAAAAGATAAGCTCAGAACATCTTTTCATATAAGATAATGAGGAAACTGTCAAAGACTACCAGGTAATATCCAAAGGACTCAGGGGCCAAATTTAAAAGCTCCCCTAAAGGGAATAATTTAAGATTCAACAATGATAATCATTGCAATTAACTGAAACCCACCAAAGTTGTTTAAATTTGTGAATTTGTGATATTTTAAAAAGAAAAATGCCTATTGTTTACCTTCAAAGAATAACAACCAATTCGTTATGTAGAAACTGATAAAGAGAAAGCATTGAGTATTGATTTCACCTTCCTATATGAACTGTACCACTAGGTAACTACATTGCAGATAAGGAGAAGCATCTGTTTATAAAAGAATTTTCATTAATAAGTGAAAAAGGAACGATAGAAAAAGACTATCACCATCTTGCAACTCCCCATAGATTAACGGGTTGGGGCATGGAGTGTCTACCATTACTAACATCACAAAAATGCAGATATCCTAATATTATGTGTGTCCTGATCAAAGAACATAGTATCACCTACGGTATTGCCAGAAGGATCAAACATGTGTCTGATAAGGCCTCTGATCAGCTGCCAGTTTTCAGGAAGTACATGACATGAAGGATACTGATGAACTCGCTGTAAGTATGCAGATAGCAAAACCCAGACCAGGTAAAACTATAAGAAAATGTGAAGAAAGGAAAGGGGTGGAAGGGAAACTATGGATTATAAGAGATTTTTAAAAGGTGACAATTTTTTTAAATGGACAGGTGATGCTGTAGTGCCTAGAGAGATACAACTGGGTGATAAAACCATAAAGAAACACAAGAGAGTGATTACTCTGGATGTCAGGAAAGTAGTTATTACCAGGGTTGAGATTGTGAAGGGGACACATGGAAGGGGCTTCTGGGATGGGAAAGTTCTATTTCCTGAACCGTGTGGTGATCCCAAGTGTGTTTTACCTTTATAATAACTCATTAAACTATACATGGTCTTGTGTATTTTTCTCTATATATGTTTTATCTTACAGTGAAAAGATGAAAAGGGGGGCACCTGGGTGGCTCAGATGGTTAAGCGTCTGCCTTCGGCTCAGGTCATGATCTCAGGGTCCTGGGATCGAGTCCCATGTTGGGCTCCCTGATCAGCAGGGAGCCTGCTTCTCCCTCTTCCTCTGCCTTTCCCCCTGCTCATGCTCTCTCTCTCTCTTTCTCTCTCTGTCTCAAATGAATAAATAAAAAATTATTTAAAAAAAAAAAAAAGAAAAGATGAAAAGGTAAAATAACTGAGTAGTTAGCACCACAGTCTATATTCCCTTTCTCTTAAAAAGAATTTCTCTTATTTGTATGTCATAAACCTGCTTGATGAGTGTCAAGTCTATGACCCTTTCTCAAATAGATGTAGTGATCATTTCCCCAACCTTTTTAAATATTTCTACAGGAGGAATTGAAAATAAATAATCTTGTCTTTTCTCTACTGTTGGATGAAGAAATAAGCTCCAGAGAAGCATTCTTAAACAACTACCTTACAAGGAAGCAGGAGGAGAAAGTAAGGATGATATCTGATATCTTGAGTAAAAGGATTTTCTGACAGACATGCTCCTTGTTTAACAAGCTCTCAGGGGCATCTGGGTGGCTCAGTCGGTTAAGCATCTGCCTTCGGCTCAGGTCATGATCCCGGGGTCCTGGGATCGAGCCCCGTGTCAAGCCTCACATCGGGCCAAGCTCAGCACAGGGTCTGCTTGCCCCTCTCCCTTCCCCCCTCCCCCTGCTCATGCTCTCTCTCTCTCTCCTTTTACATTCCTCTCAGTTGTGTGTGTTCCTTGGCTCCCCGTCAGGGACTTGGCTCCAGGGTCAGGTTGAAAGCACCCGCTCTTATCTGTTAATGAAGTTATGGGATTCTGCATCTGCAATCATTTAGTCAAAAGAACCGTGTAACTTTCATATGACATACAGTTTATAAAATGAGACAATATAGCTTCATGGTTGAAAGGACCCACTTTTAACCACTGACTGGCTGTGACACTGTGGGACCTTGGACAAGATGTATAACCTTTTAAGCTACTTGCAAGCCCTTCTCTGGGAATATTGTTCTCTCTGGATCATTTGGAACCCTAAGTATTACTAAACATGTAAGTAATGTGGTAGCTTATAGAATGAAAACCTGTCATATCTGGAAAACTCTAATAAGTAGTGTGAATAGATATGTTTCATTGAAGACACAATGAATGCAAAATGCTTGTCACAGAATAATTTTCAAAAGATGTCAGCTTTTATTAGTAGTATTAATAACATTTATGAATGAATGATTTAATATCATATATATCATATATATGACATATGAACTTAGTTTTTGCTGAAAGTCCATTAAATAGCATATGCAAACACCTTCTGAATGCAGCCCTACTCATAACAACGCTGCAAGGTACTGGATTTCTTTCACAGGTGAGGAGACCATCTCAGAGAGACTAGTAAACATGCCTAAGTCACCCATTAGAAAGTAAAACAGCAGGAATTAGAACTGTGAAAATAAATGAAGACCATCCAAATGAGAATAAGCAGACTATTTATTCAGAACTTGATATAGTAAGAGATCAGCCACCATCACTTGTGTTTGGTGGACACTCAAAGGCAGGCAGGGGGCTGGGAAAGCTTTATAATGGAAAGAAGAGAGGGCTTCAGGTGTACCCTGATTAGAAGTTGTTGGCATGGGGGAAGGGGGTGCCTGGGTGGCTCAGTCTGCCTTTGGCTCAGGTTGTGATCCCTGGATCCTGGAATCAAGCCCCATGGGGCTCCCTGCTCAGCGGGGAGTCTGCTTCTTCCCCTCCCTCTGCTTCCCCTGCCC